TAGGCTCGTAACTATATAGTGCAGAACAGGGGACAATGACAACGGATTTGTCATTATCGAAGCTTTTGCTTTGTGCCACAGTTGGTTGCCCTGACCCGCTCGTAACACCACCACGGGAGATGCTGTGCAGGACTTGTATATAGTATGACCCTGAACCTGGCTCATGGTCAGACTTCCATAGCTCTTCAGCAATCAACTTAGTATTCATCCTCAGGATACTCTCAGCTTACCTTCACTGCGAATACTTATTGAGTCTAAGGCTGATCACCTTAGCCTCTGAAGACTTGATCTACTACAAGCTTACGACCTACAACCCAGACCACGACCCCAGTGTACTGTTACTACGTGTCAATCCCCAGCTTCTGTTAGCAGACCCTACTGTCGGATAGCTGACCGTAACAGCTACGTCGTGGTCAACCTATAAAACAACAACGAAAAGCATAATCATTGTACTCAAATAAACCAACCTAAATATAGCAGCCGAGAGTAGTGTTTACTACAACTTACTATCTCCGTCCGCAGTATGCTATATAGTCAGCTTCTTGCGGTGTGCCTGTAAACTCGTCCCGCAACTAGCAGCATTGCTTCGTACTTGCTACAGGGAGCTTTTAGACACAGGCACTATCAGCCGCCCGGCTTCGACACCACTGGATCCCTCAGTCTAAACTATGCAGACTTTTGTACTTTGACTTCAATATTTCTAAGGCTGTCTATAGTGGCACGAAGGCCTCCACCAGTGCAGCTCTTCCACCGCGCTATCCGAAACTTTAGGTCTCCGTCTTCCCTCAACACCAACAATCGCCCTAACATTCAACCCCTAACCACCACATAGGTACAGTTATAGCTTATGTTCATGAAATAAAGTACTGCGCGTTTGTCTACGATAACTACTATCTGGCCTTAAACTAGCATATGTTCCCGTCTCCGCCAGGGTCTTTCCGTTCTAACTCTCGATAATCCTGCTGAAATAGGCTCAAATGCCCAGCAAACCCAGAACAAGATACTCAGAAATACACCGAGGGAGACGCCTAGGCAAGTCCTCCCCATTTAGCGTTTCGTAGCCTGTCTACCTCAGCCTGCTGATGAGGCTGGAGAGTAGGGGCCGGGGAACATTAGCTAACAGATAATCAAGCCTTGCCTGTTGTTGGCGGTGTAGGTAGAATAGTACGTGCGCCGAGGGGATGTGTTTTGTTGGGTTGATTAATCGCGTTATCGCCTTCTAGGGATTCCAGTGATTGTTATGAAGATCCAGAAAAATATTAGCCGCAAGACTTAACCGCTTCAAGATTAAACTTTTACTATCACGGTCAGAACAGTAGCGTACAAGGGAAGCAAGCGTGCCAATGTTCAAACCTTCCCTCCAGTCCTCTCCTCACGGTTCTTTATCTATCGCCTCAGCTCAGCATAAGCAAGCAAGAGAAATTCTGATAGGCATTATCCTATTAGGACTATCGATACGTACTTATTCAGGGGCTGCTGCTGAAGCCATCAAATCTCTCGACTTCGTCTATCCCAAAGCTCTAAATATAGCCCACCTTCGTCTTTCGTAGCAGCATCACAGCCGGCTATAGATCTATAGCTTCCCCCGGGCCTCTCAGCTGAGCGCTCTCTGCCCTATTCTAAGACGCCCCCCATCCGCCGGCCCCCTGTATACGCCGATAACAATCGCGGTAGTCTCACGCGTCTCAAGGACCGGGAGCTTTCATCAAGCTAGCAACGGGAGGCTGAATATCATACAGAGGCATTCGTCTCGCAGCAGAGAGGTTTTCTGATACGTAAGGTACAATCGACAGTGTTAACATGAGCGAGGTTTAATCATCCCACCGCCAAGAATACAGTATATGGGCCGTTTAGATCCATCGCGCCGGCTCCTCTACCTGTAGTATTGGCTAAAAAGGCTGGAACGAACGGAGGAGCTGACCGAAAGGTCGGCTCTGTAAGCAGCCTAGCTCATGCTTAAGCCATCGCATCGTTGGGAACTGATTTAACCACGCAAAATACATCCTCAAGGTATAGTCTGAAATATTTCTATACGTATGCGAAGATCAGGCGCATCCTGTTGCTCTGAACGATTTTGTAACACGCAACAACCTCTAAGCCCGTGGCTGTTTGACTAGACTGACCATGTTAGCGAAAGGTCAGCCTAGCCTAGGTATAGGCTCAATCGAATGATGTATTCAGCAAGACTTCCCCAAGTTTAACCAGCTTCAAGCCTCTTGGTTAGACCTAGGACACGCAAGGACGCTAATCTAACTATAGGCTCTGCTACCTCAACTAGGAAATTAAGCAACGCACCTCCCGGCTAGCACAGCTCTACTGTCGGGCGAAAGTCGTATTGTACGTCATTCTACCGAGACCCAAACGGTTAGTCTATCGCTTTCTGCTGTTTATTACAAAGTCAGACTCGCGTTCAGAGGCAATACAGGACCCACGGGTTTCCGCAGCAAGGTCTTACGTACTCAGTCTTCCAGCTAGTAGAAAGATATGTATTCTTGTTCTCGTCCCTCTTTCTCTATACCGATGAGTGGAATAATGCCTGTCTTAAGCAACATCTGGTCTACAGCCTTGTAGGAAGTTGTTGCTATTGTTGCTGGTGTTGTTATTCTCACAGAGGCCATGACGCCCCTCTACCTTCAAGCACCACTTGCGAATCAATTACTTATTCAGCTGTCTGCTTCCTCATAGAGCAGCGGAGGGGGTAATGTCCGACCGAAGGGCTGGAGGCGCCACGACGGGAGGCAGGACTTTTCAGCAGCCCCTATTTACAGTATACTTGAGACAGTAATCGAGACCTATACCCCTATCAACAGAAGGCTTGCTGCTCTAGAATAGAAGAGCGGACATTTCATATCAAGATATATATTTATACGCCCTAATCCGGCAGAATACTATACCTAGGCCGTCAGCACGTCCTGTATATACACTTAGTCCCATGCCCCCTAGGGAAAGTGTGCCTTGGCTGCTTTTATTATACGTGTGTTGGGCCTTTGTATGTTGATGTTAATGCGTCGTTGAGGGGAGGTTCATGGAGCCGTGGCATGATGGCGCCTCACTCGTCTCATGAAAGCTAGGCATCGAACTGTAGAAGCGTGAATTGTGAGTTGAGATTGAAAATCCTCCCTTCACTAGTGAGGAATAGAGCCCCCTAGCCTGCCTGGGAGGTCTTATCAAGCCCCAGCCATGATAAGTCATTGTATAAGGTCATCTCTATGCCCTGCGCCATCTGCAGAGATGGGCAAACAGCTCGTCCCTATTCCGAGAATGGGTTCATCGGATCGTCGGAACCTAAATGGGGAGGGGTGTGGGGCCTTCGAGACCGGGGTGTGGAAGGCCTGTTCACGTACCCACAATTTCTGACCCAATTCTTCAGACCTGCTAAACCGGTCAGGCCGCTCAGCCGTCAGCTGTCACATATGTCCAGCGTGGTTTGCGACTAGTGTGCACCACTCGCCATCCATTCCTCTCTCCAAATTCCACCGGCGGTGCTGTGACTTGGCACTACCCGCAGGCCTGGTCCGGCTGGAGATGACCGAGACCCCGGCGTATCATAATCACCTTGCCTCGAACCATGCAGATGTGGGTCTAGACCTCAGCAATTGGATGGATTTGCGCTCATAGAATTGCTTTCAGCCGGGCTAGGTTAGAGGAATAGCGGGAACCAGGTGCAGAATATCTCCCTCCACGGCCGGGAGGAGATTTGAGGATACGTCGTCGGCAATTGCTCATCGTCGGCTACCTATATCGTTGATTTAGAGTTTGGGCTTCACGATTTCACCATCCACCCCAGGGGCCAGTGCGGCGGTGCCTGCAGGTCTAGCCTGATCAGGCACGACATGCATCCCTGGCCCCTCCCTACCCCTACCCACCCTAGACCTAAGCCAAACCCTAAAATATTATTGATCCTGTTGGGGTTTGGTGCCCAGGGAGGGGGGTGGGGGTGGGGGGGAGGGGAGGGACAGCGCAATGTGATGGGCGGGTCGTGCTTCTGTTGGCGTAGATGGGCCAAACGATGAGTGCTGAAGCCACGACGTGCTGCGAGGGAGTTGCGGCCGAGGGAGATGTCGACCCTAAAGTAGCTGCCGGGACAGAATCCCTCAGAGACTATTGTTTCGCGCCCATACATGTCGTTGATTTGCCTCTCATAATCTCGTGATCATCTGTGCGGCGCGAGCACATGCGTCTCCCGAACCATCAAAAGTGCATCTCCTGAGGACTGGGAATCGAAGACCTGTATCGCAGCCCCGAACCACTGCAACACCTGTATTTGACCGTGATGACCAAATTTGGGCACACGATCGCCAGGGGTTCTCTAATCTAGAACGAATGTAAGGTGCGGTCTTCTTCTGCAATCACTTAGCCGTCGGCTGTACGGGCCACAGTCTCTGTCCACTCGTCTTTAGTGGGTAAGCTGAAAGTATCCGAGGATGTTTACAAAGTTGATTGCTGAAGAGCTATAGAAGTCTGACCATGAATTCTTTTCTCAGGTTATACTATTGTCCTTAGCACAAACGGCCGCCGTACGCACGAGGGGCGGTTCCCGTCGGGATCAAAGACGGTAACCAGACAACGGACACTGTTCAGGACTTGTACATAGCATGACTTGAGCCAAAGCTCATGATCGGACTTCCATAACTCTTCTGCAATACATTTTATAAATATTCTACGAACAGTCTTAACCTAGCTTCACTTTGAATCAACTCGATAACTAATCGCCTTCGACTTTGAAGACCTACACTAAGATTTGTGCCTATCCATCGCTCGTGTCAATCCACTTTGCTATCTAACTTGACGACAGATCTCCCAAATCATCCAGTCATAGGCGCGTTCTTTTCCACAACCTCTGTTCGGTGCTTGTTTGATACAAGTCCTCTTGTCAAGGCTTCATTTCGTTTGCAGACACCTTACGAATGGGTGCTTCTTCCAGAAGAGGTTTCTCCAAATAGATAGTCTTAGCTTCAGGCGGACCGACGGAGGTTCGCGTAATGGCAGTAGTAAGTTTTTCAGAGAGCCCCCGTATTAATAGGGGCACTCGAACGTAAGCTGCTAATTGAAAGGTGCTTCGCATGAGTTAGCTCGAAGCACCGTGTCTGAGGGCCTGACCAAACATACTTCGGAAAATCAGAATCGAAGCCTGACTTCTTGCTAATGTCGCGCTTCGAAGGTTTGTGACTCTTCCAGGGCTCTTCACGCCAAGCCTTGTGGTTTGGAGGGAAACCAGCCAGCTGATATTGCACACCACCGGCGGCCGCCGAGCCGTACTTTCTTTTGTCGAAGTCCTTGTTCATGGTCGACTTGCCGAGATTCCTGCCTTTCAATTGTCTCCAGGAGACTATCTGTTCGTACTTGATGCCCCCCAAAGCCGCGAACTCGAGTTCCTCATCGAAGTCGCTGTATTTACCAAGGGTGCCAACAGTATCAATCATGTTTGGGGTAACATGAATCTTGTAAACGAAGGCCGAAGGCTTCCCGTAAACAAACGTTGCTGCCACGGATTCACTGGTACTGGTGGAGACGAATCCGTCTTCGTCCCGGCTCTGGATGTTATGAGTCCCTTTCATGTGATTGAAGAGGCTGGTGTCCGCATTTTGAAGTCCGAACCTGGTTTGGCCCTTCGGGAGAAACCCTCCAAGTCGTTTGATCTCTCCGGGTGATCTTGTATCGCCACGGTAGACATACGACACCGTAGTAGGCGCTCCGTGACATAGAAGATGCCACAAGTGGGCCCCTAAAAAGAATAGGAGGAGCGGGCGATGTCGGAACATCTTGGTTGAATATGTGAAGCCGAGAACAGGATGAGCGCGGGCCTATTGCAGGTGGAAGCGGGAGATCGAGAAGAGGGAAATCTGATGTTTTGGGAACCTATAACCACAGCCCTCGGAGGTGACACGGTAACCTGAGAATTTTGTACGAGGTACGATCAGCCCTTAGACCGCATTCTATTGAGTGGAGGGACTCCTTGACATCTGACCTATATTTAGGTGGAGTTTGATCCCACGGCTTAAGCTACTCTTGGTTAACATGAAATGAGCCCCAAAGCAGGAAAGTTAGGTCGACCCAGACGGCAAGATGGCCTTTACGGCATCGGCGTCGGCGAAGACGGCATAAGCATAGGTGAGGAGGGGCTTCTAGTGGCCCCTGTCTATTCGCTTACTTCCCATTGCTTCTAGGAGAATACCTGAGATACCGTCTGGAGAAGTCTGTAGAAAAGCTCATTGGGTTCCATAGTGGCTTGCATTTGAGTTGAGAACGCAGCTACCACCCGTGTTGCCTCCTGTTGATTGGGCTGAATAGGCTGGTGCTGCGCGTTGGCAACTTGGCCTAGCCCATCCACGGTTCTTAGTGACAACCACGGCCAGCTTATGTTCAAGATCCGAGTCTTTACGCTCTAGATTGGAGATGCAGCATGTATTAGATGCACTATCATGCTGTTATTAGCACCCCAAAGACCTCCATTCAGCACAGATTGCCGATGAGGAAGGCTTGCCGACCGGCCTGAACACAGCCCCGTGGAAGGCACGTGGCCGACGGCGTTGCCGGGCGAATGAGCAGGAAGCGGGACGGGGTTTTGTGTTCGCCTGTTAAGCATCGGAGTTTCCGAGCACAGGCATCTCTGTGCCTCAGCGCTAGGCGAAGAGACACCAAAATGCATGTACCTAGCTATCGAAGCGAGGTCACATTAGTGGTTTCCTTTTCTTTTTTTTTTCTTTAATATTCTCGCCGTACACGGGTTGCAGTAATATCTTTGTCCAACACCCTCCCCTGACATTTTTACACTCCTTCGTATCGTATACAAACGAAACAATATTGCCCCCAAATATCACAATAATTTCCTTTGCTCAGCTTTTTTCTGTCCTCGTGGCCTCTGTAGCTATTGCCTTCCCGGCCTACTTCTTCGATGACAGAGAAGTGATTATTGACACGTGTGCTATCGATGCAGGTTAGAATCAGCAAACCCGCTTATTATTCGTATGCTGGTATGCTAAATTTGCCGATTGAGTACGTCCGCGTCTGCAGGGCCGGCCCAAGCAACAGCAGCGGCGCTTTGCAGGGCGAGGCCAAGCTCGCCGACGCCAACACTATCAAGGGTTCCAGTGGCTACCTGAAACACCTTAGTAACCTGGGCGACATCATGAACTTCGCTTCAGGCTGCTCCAGTGATGCTTGGGAATTCCTCGTCCTACCTGGCGGAAAGACCTACAGTCTCGACGCTAAGAAGAGCGGCAACTCTCTCGGTCCCATTCGTGTCTCTTACAATGAGGGCCTCCAATTCTGGGGCATTGAAGCCGAGGGGACGGCTAACGGTAGGGGCGACCCTTACTACTGCGCTCTCAAGCCCATGAGCCAGGGAGAGAGAAAGGGAAAGGGAAAAGTCAGGTTCGAGGGGAGAGTACTACCACCTAGACGCACGTGTCATCGTGCATACTCGATGATCGCGCTGTCCATCACAGATTGGTGTTACAGTTGCCTAACTGAAAATACAGGGCTAATAACAGAAGCCGGGGATTGACGCTATAGATCAGATATGTTGGCACTGAGTCGAAGTATCATAGACTGCAGTAGATCAAGTCTTCAAAGGCTAAGGTGATCAGTGTTAGGCTTGAACAAAGTATTCGCAGTGAAGGTAAGCTGAAAGTATCCGAGGCTGTTTACAAAGTTGATTGCCGAAGAGCCATGGAAGTCTGACCATGAGCTAGGCTCAGGTCAACCTGTAAACTAGCTCTGAAGATTGACTTTGTACTAACTACCAGATTCGGCTGCCTTCATCAGCAACGATTCCTCGATGGCGGGGGTTTGCCAACAGCTAATGCGTCCAGTTCGCCATGCTGTTACGACCGGTTATGCAAGGATAACAGTTGACTGACCCACCCGGGCGTCAGGCGGCTGTGACAGGACATTATTACTGCACAGTCACGGTAGTAGTGAATTTAACATCTCCAGCGACGAGAGACTTGTCGGGAGCGATGCCGACATAGTCTATGCTAATCTAAACCATGCTACAGGTCTACGTCTTCACCTAACCTAAGGGCAGCGACGACTCGTGGTTTGGGATGCCGAGGGCCGTAGCCGTACAGAGAAGGGCCGTCTCCCTTCTGGCTAGACGAGATGAAGACGTCCTTCTCGACGGCCATAACGGCCATCATGGCGGGCTGCTCTTGTGGCCCAACGCGATCAGCATCAAACTTGGTCTGCATTTAGCTATAAGCTAAGTGAGCAAGCTCATAGAGTTGGTCGTTGTTGAAAAGTGTTGTAGTGTCTCTAGTGAAGGTGAGCTTAGAGGGGTAAAGAATATGCTGCTCCTTGTCTCGGGCACGTTTGTCAAGGTTCAGGCCAACATCCTGAGCTGCGATACCTTGGAGGAGAGCGAAGAGCACAAGGATGCCGGACAGCCTAACTACCCAGCCCTAAGGTGCGGAAGACCACATTTCGAAAGACGACTAGTTGGAGATGGCGGTTCAAGAAGCCTGGCGTGTGGCTTGCCGGGAGAGGACGGTTTAGCAATACATCAGCGGACAACAAAAGCAAAGCCAAGCGCAACAAGTAGCTATATCCGGTCAAAGAAGCTGAAACCTCACGGTGGCTATCCCCGAGACAACGAAGGGGTCCCGCGCGGCAGAGCCGAGAGGATGTAGAGGGATGTGGATGGATAGTAATTACAGGTAGCGGATGGATAGACTCATCCTAATCGTAAACGGCCTGTGTTGACGGCAGCTTCCTTCTGTTACTTTTCATTTCGCGCCGGTCGAGGCGCGCGCTTGACCACAGGCAGCCTTCGTGTAGACCTCAAAGACGAGCCTTTATGACCATCTCCGCACGGTTCGGAGTCGCCGATGGCTGCCGAGAGGGTCATTTCACTCGCATGGTAACTAGCACAAAGATCACTCCCTGCTTCTTCATGAGGGAACCCATGCAAAAAACCTGAATCGCATCCGGCAGATCCGCGTTAAGCCGAACCCACCAGATAGGCCGGAGGAACAGTTCGACTTGCGCAAGTTAGAGACACTGGAGTCTTTTAAAGCCAAAATAGGACATTAAGCTGCAGACATTTCTAACCATAGCATGGTAATCGCAAAAGCGCGTTCATGGGGTCGCTGATACTAACCCAGGATAAATCAAAGACGTATAACGAAATATCGGCATCACCGCATGCAAGGGAGAATTTCTCGCCCACTGTCATTGCTAACTATACTGAGCGACTTGAATGCAATACATAAAGCGCATGGTTGAATATTTCGTGTCCGGGGCAGGACCAACCGTATCAATCACTTCATCATTGCTTCATTTTCTTCCACTCGAGTATCAGCGTCTAACACTTATTGAACGAGAAGTTTCTACACTTTCTTCAACATGTTGACAGTACCTACCATATTCCTCATTGCTTTAAACTTCTCGCACGCCTATGCTGTTTTAACTCCTTCTGAACGCAGCCGTCTTGCTTCTCATGAAAAGCGAGCGCTGACATCCTGGGTGTCCATGACCAAAGGAAGCGATTGGCCATGCTCATCATCACAACTCAAAGATATCGAGAAATCGATTGAGTACGCGAAGATCTTGGCAAACGGAGCCATGGTAGCTCTGGATAATACTGGGACTTCATCGAAGGCCTATGTGAGATGGTTTGGCAGTAAGTCAACACACACTCATCGTTCCTGCGTCTTGCCGCCAACGATGAAGTTGGACTCTTTTGCTTAGGTTGATCCATGAAGTTGAGCGCTAACCGTGCTTGTAATAGAAACAAATACCAATAAGGCCCAGCTTTCTACAATCAAAACCAGCCACTTTGGGGCACCAAATAGATTCCTGCAGACGCCATCGAGCACCATCAAGTCATATGATGAAGGTGGTCCGAGCCCACAAAGACTGGTGTATGCATGCCCCCCTAAGGACTTTCCCTTATGTAACGGCGAAGTGGCAGCTGCCGCCATCAATGCTGGCGACGAAATCTTCAAAACCAACATCCTCCTCGCCTGCCCTTCTTTTTTCAAGAAGACCAGCAATTCGCAGATGCTTTCAAACTGGCGAAAGGGAAAATACACGCCATCTGCAGGTATGATATTGCTGCATGAAACGCAGCATCTCGATGCTATTGTCGGCAAGGGCAAGCGCTGTGTCGATCTGGCATATCCAGTAGACAAGTAGGTCTTTTCCCGCATTCACGATATTGTCTTGTACAAAACACGTGAGATTCGAAAATGCTAAATATGAAATCTTAGATGCGAGAAACTTGCAGATAAGGATAAGATTAGGAACGCCCAAAACTACGCATTCTTCGCCCTAGACGTCACAGCGATTCCGCCTAAACGGAAGTAGGGCGGGTTTGACATGAAACGTTCCGCTACGAAGGGGAGAGGTGTCGGGATGAGGGGTGGTGTTGGTCACTGAAATCTTCTTAATATTACCTATATGGCGGTCAGACAACTCCAACTTGAAGATGTATTCACATCTAGAAAATCTAATCACCTTATTAGAAGTCTTCTGTTGTTGTCTGTCTTGAGGAAGGAGGCTATCGCCACACCCGCTGCAGTTGGTGCTTGTGGGCGCGTCGCTATATCGTGCAGATAAGGGTGAATGGTGTCGGAGGCACCATTGCTAAAACTTTGGTATTAAGGTGCACTTAGTTGCCTTGACCCGCGCGTGACAGCTATCTCATTACACGGCTGTGAAAGCGTTGTGGAAGGGATCGCTTTGAGCGAGCGAGAGGTCAGCATTCATTTGTTAAGACCGCTACAGTTGGTCCCTGTAAGCTCGTAACTATATATATATATTGCAGAACAGGGGATAACTAATGACGATGGATTTATCATTACCGAAGCTTTTCTTTGTGCCACAGCTGATTGCCCTTACCTGCTCGTAACATCATGAATGCTTCAACAAACTAGATTCTTAGCGGGGCAATCTCAGACTCTTTCTCTTGTCTAACTGTAGTAGTACTACCCTTCCTAGCTGCCGTTATTTCACCTGGATATGTCCATCACATTTGTCAGTCCAGCCTCGCCCTCACCCTCTCGGATAGAAACAACCAATCCATCGGCGGCGGTAACGCGTGGTCCTTTGTTGAGTCGTGTTGGATCACTACACCAGATACTTTTATCCGGCTTAAAGGTCGACAGAGCCGATCTTAGTATTCTTTTCGTTAAAGATGATGAGCTTCTTAGCGACGACGGCGCCACTGAGGTGAACGCCCGCGGACGAGGCAATGCCGGTAACGGTACCAGCACCGTCCAAGGTCAAGTCAATGACTCCAGAAACCATGCCCGTCGCAAAGTCGAATATAGCATGCTGGGGCGTGGCTCGACGGCCTGTGCTTTCCTTGAAGTGGGTGGCGACGATCTTCCCTTTCGTCTTCACATTGGTGAGCTTATCAAAGGAAGCCGAGATGGTCTCTTCCTTCTCGGATGATGGGTTGATGTTGTAGTCAACAATGATAATGCCGAGCACCCGGGCGGCGGCGCTAACGACGTGGATCTTAAACTTGGATTTGTTGGCGCGGTTGCTCAGACCGGCGGAAGGCGCCTTCAAATCGGTGGTCAGCATAGGATCTCTGGCCTGGACATGCTTGGGCTCCCCAAATTCGTTTTGATGGTCAATGACAGGGGAGGAAATCCAGTCACGGGGGACCTCTCGATCAGCAACAGAGGTATCTGCCATAGGCAGGGGGGAGGCGGCCACAGAGATGGCAGCGAGGCCCATGAGGAAGGCAGACACGCCGAACTTCATTTTATACAATGAGTAGATTCAACGGTTTCCGTAGATATTGCGGTGTGGTCTGTAAAGTGAAAGTAATGTCCAGTGGTGGCGTTGAATCAGTTTGATAGCGGCGAGTAAGGGAAAGACGTGAAGAAATCGCCAAAGCTTGATGGTGAGCCTCGAGGCGATAGTTGTATTGGGATCGTGTGGACATATATGGCCTTCACTGATGTGTGAAAGGTGGTCCTGATTCATGATTTGGGATCAAAATATGACTTTTGCCTCCGGTATTCAGTCGTACAGCCCACTTTCACTATGTCTCACATGAAACGTACCGGCACCACGCTGAAGAGGTATAATATAACACATGTGGTGGAGAAATCCAAGACGATATACGCGCTGCATTACTTAGGATATCGCTCGAATCCTCCATCAACCTAGCCAGGAGCACCAGGTCTACCCCTGGGCAGCGCTTAGAGTCATGAAGTGAGCCGTACCCGTGCTCCATTGCGGCACTGCAACTTCCTTCCCTCCGCCACATGCCGTTAGGTTCGCTGATAGCTCTGCAGGGACAGACGGGATCACAGGGGTCAGCTCTGTCCAGGTTCCCGTGAATCACGCTCCGAAGTGTCCCACACGGCAAGGCCGAGAGTATGAAGGCGACCAGCAATATACGGGGGACCAGGGAAGCGGGCCGATCACAACCTTATCCATTCTCTTCCCTCGGGAACCCCGTGGCCGGCGCTACCGTCGGAGACCCGGTCATCGCCGTACCACAGCACCTTTTTCGTCCGCGCCGGCCGGATCTAGCCTTTCCTCGGACGCCGAAATTGAGGCGCAATGACCAGCTCCACATGCTTCGGGCGCTCCGGTGACTGCCTAGACAGAAGCTGCGTTCGTATCGTAGCGCAATGAGGCGGTCAATTCGCTCCTCGGCTTCGACGGCTGATTGGCAGATATTGACGATGACCACAACGACCGGGCTAAATGACCGGGCTAAACGACTGGGTATGACAACGGCTTGCCATACGAGCGCTGAGGCCATCTGTGTGTGCCCGCCATGCCGGGCGGTAATCGGGCAGAATACCGCTTCGGGCGGCTGCGGTCGGGGTCGGGTGGCTCGAGGTTTCTCGCAGATTACCGTGAGGGGGAGCGTCAGGGTTAGGGTAGAGTTAGGGTAAGTTCAGGTAGCCGTAGGGTGGGGTAAGACGCTAGGGGGGCTGCGTATCCGGACGAGCCCAGGCAAGCAGGGCAAACAAACGACCCAGCAATAGTCCCCCCCGTCCGTCCCAATCACCCAGCCGGCTGGCTCCCCTCCTGAAGAGAGACTCAAGTAGAGGAGCGTTGAGCAAGCAGCATGCGCGTCATTTCATTCATAGCAATCACCGATTAATAAAAAGACGCAGTTAGATAAGGGGACGGCACAGCCCGGCGCAATAGACACGTTCTACCTCGTTATTAGCTGCTGCGCCTTCGTTCGATTCCGATGCGAATCTTGTCTAGATAAATACAATAACGTGCCCATAATGCCGCCTACGACACTACACACACACACACATAGCCACGTGCAGTTGAACGAATCAAAGGGAAGCAGAAAGGGAAGCAGAGAACTAACTACAAGCAGGCAGGAAGGATATCAGGTTCGAAGGCTTAGGTATAAAGCACGGCGAACCCACCGATATGCCGAGCAACTTTCAGCGAACGAAAGGAAACCGGTAGAAGAAGCTTATGTGCGTGTATTATAGCCGTGGGTCATGTAGGGGCTTACGAACTGGGCGAAGTATAAACTACTAATGATAATAGTAAACGTTGCCGATGACGGTTTAGAAAGTTAGTTAGACATACGTAGGCTCTTCTCTCTAGGCAATTGGGGTAACGGAGTCCCCTCGATTATTTTGTTTTAGTTGGAGCAGACACGGCGCTTAATGGAATGGAAGCTCATCTCCCTATCGACCGCAGACCCATGCACTCCAAACCTTGAACTGACCACCCTGGGCACAACTTGTAACATGATTGGTGAGGAGACGGCTAGCATCACTCGGGTAACTGAGGTGGGAAACATAGAAACATAAATATCCTTCCTTCCGACAACGACAGCGTCAGATTGCCCTGCAGTTCTATGGTAAGACCCGTTATACGCATATGTACCTCACAACATCCAACACATCCAACACAAAGCAGTGCATCGTGCATATTTATAATCTATAAAACCAACAACGTCGAAGAGACACACATCGCCTTACAGCACGGACAAGCCTCCAGCCTATGTTACACAGTTAAGGAATATGTATTACGAAACACTACCCTATCAAATAACTAAGTATCATATACAGTTCACCCGATACTCCTCATATTTTCTTCCGTCCCCAGCCAGACAGAGCTATAACAAACCCCACGGGACGACTAATTGTGTGCGAGGGTACGGTTCAGCCAGCAGCCATTATACGGATAGATGGTCGACATGAGTGACGAGATCGACCTCCTGGGCTTCCCGAGGCAGGCCGAGGTCAATGCCAGCACATACCTCACGTTCATCAACAGACCACACATCGCCGCATGCATCCCCTGCCGTCAGGCCCTCCGCCCCGACAAGGCGATAGAGACCCATTTCCGCCGGGTTCACCAGCTGAAGGGCGAGACCCTCCGGTCGGTAGTCAACCTGGCACTGTCGGCGGCATGTCTTGCGGAGCTCGAAGACCCACATGCCTGCCGGACACTGTCTGTCCTAGACGGCTTCAGCTGGGTGAGGTGCTCCTTCCGGACCATCAGCCGGAAGCTCCCAACGCTCCGTACCCAAAGGACTCAGCACGACTCCCGCAGCGCCGCGGGGCTCCAAACACTGTCCCAGGGTCGGTACGCTCCTTACTGGGTCGTCAGCCCCGACAGCCCCGAGGAGGAGGTCGGCACAGGAGGAGGGGACGGCCACGACGTGCTTGGAGACCGGCTAGTGAGCCGGCAAAGCATAATGGCGGCGGAGGACGAACGGTGGGGCCGGATAATACTCACTACAGGCGACATTAACTAGCAGTCGGCCTGGGTCTGGGTTGTGGGATAGGCCGACCACCTTAACGGCTTCGACTTCTTGCAGCTCTTCAAAGCCGGCATGGGCCCCATCTCGGACGCCGCACGCAGGGTGGTATGGGACGACGGCCAACGTGAGAAACAGCGCCGGCTGTCTCCAGTGTCGGAAGGCGTCCCCCGCAAGGTCGGCTTCCTGACGAGGTACCTCTGCTACTTCGTGAGGGCGTGGTGGCGGGGGACCGAGCCGTCATAACGTCCATGCGACCACCTCCCGGTCCCTCTTCAACGGGACAGGTAGACGTGCCAGTGAGAGCGACTCGGGCAAACTGGACAGGAGGGCAGAGGGGATGACGGCATCCCGGAGCCAGTAAGCCGTCACCGCCGCCGCCGTGGGAGCAGCGACGACGAGGAGCTTCCGGCACATAGCCGCACACTCGACACACAGGTATATAAGTTCCTCGTCGCAAGCCTCAAGCAGAAGGTGGCCGTCCACATATTCGCAAACCTCCTGATTCACTTCACCGCCGTGCTCGGCATACTAGACCCCACAGGCGGCGGCAGCAGTTGAAGACGCTTCAACCAGGCGTCCGGAAGCAGCTTCGGTTAGCGCAAGCCTGCAAGCTTCACACAGCAACTGGCCGGCATCATCTGATGTGGGCGGATCATCATTCTGGAGCACTTCTTCGAGGGTGAGGCGATCGACGGAGACGCTAACGCGATCAGTGTCGAGGCCGTGGAGGGCTTCGTCGAGCAGTATCGCCACTGGCTGGCGGATGGATCTCACACGCTGTTCAGCAGCATCATCCGCATGATGACGGAAGAGGGGAGGAAGGGTTGGGACAAGTTGTACGTGTTACTAGGGCCCTGGGGGGGAAGAGAGGGGGGGGGGGGGGGGGGCAATTTCGTGACGAGGCGTTGGGAGCGGCCGTTTATGTAGAGCAACTTTGCTGCCGATCTAGCAGGATATAGAGGAAGATGCGGAGTGGCTAACACAACGTTGGCGATGGCTTTAGGTCAAACCTATTAAAACCGCCACCAAAAGCGTAAGTGGGACCATTCGGCCAACGCTGCCTGTTGTTACCCACTAGACGGGCTAGAATAGCATTGTTAAGTTCCAGTACCACAAGGTCCGCCACAGCAATACAAAGACCAGAGGAAACCAGCGCCCCGCTCCCCCGCCCTGAGGGCAGGTAAACCTGCCAAGTCCTGTTCAATAATGAATCAACTAATCAGTCAGCTAGTCAATTGATCAACTATGAAGGCATAGTCGTTCAATCAAGTCAATCCTGACCCTCAAACTTGATAACAGAAAACCGAACCTCTAAGGTCTTGGGCGGTTATAACAGCACACTCATAATAGATTCATTTTGACATGTTGCCTCTTACTCGGTTTCGACCGTAGTTATCGTACCTTTCCGCCCCCCCTCGCTCCTCCCCTTTGATATGTGCCGCCTACCTCGACCCCTGCTAGCCCTTCTTCATTCTCCAGTTCACTAGTATGTGCTTATCATTCAACGTTGTTACGGACCTTCTCCCTCGATATCAGGTGTCTTCTCACCTTTCCCACACGTCCTCTAACGTCAGACATTCTGGTGTTCACTCGGTAACTCCCTTCGATCTCGAAGTTCCGGGATTTCGGGTTCCTATCCAATTACGTTATCCGTCGCCTCGGCGGTGATGGCACGCTTCATGCAAGATACTGAGAGAGTGGAGTATGAAACAGAAATGTCGACCTAGGTTTGAGGCTCGAGGCATTTCCTCATCTTTCCTACCCTATATTATCTGCTCGTTCGGGCTCGTCTTTCAGTAACAACTTTATACGTCCATGCCACCCCTAACACAAACGTAGGCTCTAGCCTCAACAGCAAAACTTATCGCCTTCTTCACAGCTTTCCTTTTTACTCATCGCTATCAAACCGATTCGACACCATGACTAGTTATTACTTTCACTCTACACATTAGACCGCAATATCTACAGAAGCTATCAAGTCCATCCACTGTCTTAAAACGAAGCTCTCCATGCCTGCCTTCCTTGCAGGCCTTGACGCCATCTGTGTGGTGTGGCCGCCTCCCCTATGCCCATGGGATATATACCTCCGTGGCTATTCAGGAGGTCCCCCACGACTTGGCTTCTTCCTTTAGCTTTAACCTAGCCATCGAGTCCACTTGCTAGGGGACCCTGAGCATGTCAAGGCTAGCGATACTAAGGTTATCCTGAATCCCGAACCCGAGGAACCCCACGGCGGTCTAAGCCAGCGCGCGAAGAACTCAAAGTTCAAGATCCACGTCGTTACCACCGTTGCCCGGTTACTCCGGTATTCTCATTGTTAACTATGTTGTTGAACTGTCGATCCGTTAGCTAAAGAGGCACCTCAAACTTCCTTTAACAAGCTCACTAATGTGAAGACGAAAGGCAAGATTATTGACACTAACTTTGAGCAGCGCGCGGGGCCCTTGAGCCACACTGCAGCATGCTGTATTTCACTTTGCGATGAGAATAGTCTCTGGAGTCACTGATGTGACCACAGATAGTGCTAGTGGTAGCGTGACCGACATCGCCTCATCCGCTAGCATTCATCTTGGTGGCGCTGTTGTTGCTATGAAGCTTCTTGTCTTCGACGAAAAGGATGCTAAAGGTCTGATTCTACGTATCAACCTCTGTGCACACATAAATATGTGATATGGTGATCTAACAGGGATCGACAGGCGGCCTGTCGCCATGGGTTGCTCATAGAGGGGTTCCCCCCTTCGTTTTGCTCATGGCCCTGTTATTCTTTTGAGGTGACAGGGTTAATCATCCAGCTATCTCTCGATTCTACTGGTGTAGCAGGGGTAGCTATGATACTGGATTTTGCGCAGGGGATGAAATTCAGCTTGCTATATGACGAAGAATTCCGCGTTGATACCAAATCCGAAGGTGAAGACAAGGAATCGACCGCCCTAACTCGGACGTCGGGCGGCTTACAACAGGGCAATCAGATGATAGGATCGTGCGAACAACAGGAACTTACTTGGAACGGAAGGACTGTACTTAAATTCACTATGACGTTGCGACGAGATGGCACTGAGCGTAGCAGGTCGGTAACTGAGTGTTCACCTGCTGTAACATACCTAGGTGATGAATCATCTAGCCACAGTCTCATTGGTCAGAGGCACTGTTATCCTCAACCTAACCCAAAAGCTTAGTACTTGTCTCTAAATGAGTGTTATGCGCGGAAGCCTCGGTGAAAGAAAACGAAGCAAATGATATGGTTAGCCCAAACCTGGAAACGAACATGTTTACTCTGGGCTTGATAAAATGTATTTAAGCCGGTCAGTATGATGGGCAATAACTGTGTAGGTAAAGATTTTCCCGCGCATACGCAGTGAAGCCAATATATCGGCACATGCGTTCGGGTTATGCAGGGTTAGTAGTCCCAGTAACCCCCCCCCCCCCCCCCCCCCCCCCCATCAACGCTCTTCTAAAATTTCGAACCTATTGTTTAACACATACTCAGCCCAGTGTCTCGGTTCAGCTTCAAAGACCCCAATGTGTCCAACTCGCGCAAACCACATCATCCTTGCGGCCTATCGGGTGCGATCAACCCGAGCGCGGATCTGCCGAACTGCCGGGTTGCGAATTATCGTTTACAAGGAACTGGATGTGGACCCGTTATGCAAGGATAACAATTGACCGACCTACCTGGGCGTCGGGCGGCTAGGAAAGGACATTTGTACTGTAGAAGCACGGGAACAACAGGGACTGAATCAGGAACAGAAGAACTATGGTACAGGTCATGTGATGATAAGGTAAGAACGAGCAGTGGAGCGCAGCAAGGAGCGCTCAGTGATCAGTTGGCAATGCCAACTCATCGCGATCACCTCATGCACCAAGGTGATCACTTATACAAGGGAACGCGGTTCAGAATTTAACCTGTATATCGTATGACCTGGGCTCGGCTCATGGTCAGACTTCGATATCTCTTCAGCAATCAACTTGTATTCATCCTCCGGATAGTTTCAAGCCTACCTCCACTGCGAATTATCTGTTAAGTCTAAGACTGATCAACTTAGCCTCCAGAGTCCTGATCTTCTACCGTCTACGGCTTTACGACCACGATCTAAGTGTACTGTTTTAACGTTAATCCCCAACTTCTGTTAGCAGACCCTACTGTTGAGTAGCTGACTGTAACAAAAACGTTTGTCTGGGTGTCAACGTGTGAAGAACTCAGTTCCAACGGAGGCCTCGTCAGCAACCTCGTTCTCTTACGCGTCTACCTTCAGTCCGCGCCTGGCCTGCCAGAGGCGATCTACAAGCCACCGCAGCCTGAGAGAACTTATGAAGTCGTGCGTGCCTGCTTTGTTCGGCCTCGGCGATTCCGGTCGACTCAATGCCGGTAAGGTGGATACATAAATTAACTACGGAGCATAGACCGCTAGTCCGAACCAGCATTCTCCAGGGGGTCTAAGCGCCTGGACCGTTAAGCTGTACCATGTATCGCTGTTCCCGCAGGATCCACACCTACAGCAGTGTGAACTCTCCGAGCCAGGAGAGCCGGTTAGACCCATCTTGACGCAGTTAAGGTCTACACAAAGATTGGGCGCGGTTGAGCGCGTGCCTCTACCGGCGCAGAGCAAAAGCTGTCAGAAGGGAGCATCCATGATCACAGGCCGATGACGGCTGCGACCGGTCCATCCGTCTATCATTACATATACCATCTGTATCTCTTTACGTCCTCTCGGCTCTGCCGGGTGGAACCGTCTCGTTCTGTAGGGAACAGCCATTGAGAGGGTTAGGAGGCTCTTCGACCGGACACAGAAGTACTTATCACAGCCAGTTTCTCTCCCGCTATTTGCTGGCCTATTGCTACCAAATCATATGTCCCTCAGCAAGCCACACGTCGCGCTTATCAAACTACCGTCTCCGACTGGGTTGTCTTTTGAAATGTCGTCTCCTGCATCTCAGGGCTGGGTGGCCAGGCTGTCTGGCCTCCTTGTGCTCTTCACTCTCTTCCAGAGTATCGCAGCTCAGGATCTCGGCCTCAAACTTGACAAACATGCCCGGGACAAAGAGCAGCATATTCTTTACTCCTCTAAGCTCACCTTCACTAGAGACACCACAACACTTTTCAACGACGACCAACTCTATGGGCTTGCTGATCTAGCTTATACCCAAATGCAGGCCAAGTTTAACGCTGATCACATCAGGGCACAGGACCAGCCCGCCATGATAGCTGTTATGGCCGTCGAAAACAACATCTTTATCTCGTCTAGCCAGAAGGGAGACGGCCCTTCTCTGTACGGCTACGGCCCTCGGCATCCCAAACCACGAGTCGTCGCTGCCCTTGACCGGTGCCAAGCCAGACTACAGAGCCAAAAGAATGTCCCGGTTAACCAGAAGCATCGAACCGAGGCCGGCTGTGCGGAGATTTTCGCTGTTCACCAGGTAGGTCCTGCTCCCTCTGCTACCAAGTCCTTCCCACTGATAAACACGCCAATTACCGACTCCTTCGTCTTAACACCTCCTTAGTACTATTTAGACAGCGATACCTCGCAGCAAGCTGGGAGTCACCGACGCTCCATCCGCATCGTGGCCTATGGTAGAGGGGGCCGGACAGGCGTCGCGGGCCGTGAGTTTATACCTGTCCTAGTGTATGTTCCATAGTCGACGTCGTACTAATAAGCCTATCATACAGCTCAAAACCCCTGTGGTGGCGGTGAAGTCGTTAACCAAGAGGGTCGCCTAACGTGGGGGTGCAAGCAGTTCATGGCGGACGAAGGGATCGTCGTGCCACGGAAGCCCGGCAAGAAAGTCGATATAAGATTGCCACGGCCGTTCCCAACGTTCACGCACAAGCAAATCAGCATCGTGCCCCAAGCCCCTCCACGCCCCCGCGTCGAGGGGGGCGGGGGATGCTCCGCAGAACATCCGCCATGCCGCTAGACAACATATTCTAGTTCGGCAGTGGTCGCGCTAGGTCATTTGATTATTAGCTGATATCCCTGAAAGGTACGAACAAGGCGAGGTTGAGAGCAGGTTAGGAGGGGAAAATTAGATAGATCGTTAAAACCAGAGTGAACACCATTGCTACAATGCACACTATAGGTTGCTGTAGTGACGGCCGTAGCTTCTGTGGCGAGTTGACAGATAAAGCTCATCAACAACATCTCCACCTCTATAAACGCCCTAAGTCTGTCCCTATCCGGCCACAACCTATAAGAACACTAGTATTAAACACATTTAGGATTTAGGGTGGGTGGGGTTTCTCCTGCTAACACTTACGGCTGGGCAACTAGGAATCGCAACTTATCTCAGCTGATACTATCTTCGCTAACGCTAACGCTGTTTTAGATCATCTTTGTAAGGGTCTAGGACAAGGTCGATGCCGTTGGTCTAACCTACTACTACGAGTACAATGAATCTTCTTGAAGAACAGGAAACAGAACCGTATCCTCCCTATTTCCTGGGCACTCTTATGAACTTGCCATTGACCTTGTCGATATTCCTAGAATCTTCTAGCAAATGCGTCATTGGATTTGGTGGGTCCAATGAGTCGTGGCTGAGGGTTTTGCCGAAGGCCGAACACCGGTCCATAGACCGTGACAATCTTATTAGGTGTTACGGTCAGCTATCCGACAGTAGGGTCTGCTAACAGAAGCTGGGGGTTGAAACGCTGTAACGGTACACTGGGGTCGTGTTCTTAGGTCGTAGGTCGTAGGCTGTAGTAGATCAGATCTCCGGAGGCTAAGGTGATCAATCTTAGGCTCAACAAGTAATTTGACAAATCCGTTGTCATTATCCCCTGTTCTGCACTATATAGTTACAATCCTACAGTGACCAACTGTAGCGGTCGTAACAAGCAGACCCTCCTGTTGGAAAGCTGACAGTAACGTCTAGCTTGTGTTCAGATGTTTGCATCGTTGGGGAGGGACTGATGTAACCACGCAAACAAACAACGCAGACATATCTGGCGACTACGATATCCATGCTTGCTCCTCGATAATGATAATGTTACGGTCAGCTATCCGACAGTAGGGTCTGCTAACAGAAGTTGGGGATTGACGTTTTAAACAGTACACTGGGGTCGTGGTCATAGGTCGTAGGTCGTAGGCTGTAGTAGATCAAGTCTTCAGAGGCTAAGGTGATCAGTCTTAGACTCAACAAGTAATTCGCAGTGAAGATGAGCTGAAAGTATCGGTGGTGATAATCACAAGTTGATTGCTGAAGAGCTATGGAAGTTTGACCTTGAGCCGGGCTCAGGTCATACTATATACAGGTTTCCTATCTGACTGATTCTGCTGTTCATGAGCGCTGTTTTCCGTGTTGCCATGAGCGCTCATTCTAGAGTGGGATGAGCGCTCATTTCCGTATCCACCGAGCGCTCATTGTGGGTCCCTTATCTATGCTCATTCCTTATCATCACGTGACCTGTATCCTAGTTCTTTCGTATTCCGAGTGAGTCCCCGCTGTTCCCGTGATCCTGCAGTACAAAGGTCCTGTCCTAGCCGCCTGACGCCTGGGTGGGTCGGTCAATTGTTATCCTTGCATAACGGGTCGTAACAGATAATCTCTATCGGAAGATGGCTGGTCTCAAATTGTAGCTGTGCGTTGTACACCCCGATCATATTGTGTCGTTCATTAAGAAGCTGAAGACTGCAGGAATATCGTGGAGCAAGCGGCCGATACAATCTTGAAAAGCTTACATAGGTTGATGCTTAAACCTTCTCAGGTAACCTCACGAACGGGGACATAGCCGCAACGTCCAAAGGAGCATTCGAGCAACAGAGCTTCTCAGAAAAATTAGAAGAACATCCGCTTGATGCTATATAGGGCCGAAGGCCGAAGGAGAGAGAAAAGAAACAAAAATGAAGGCGTACAAGATAGAGGGAAAATCAATATGGGAAGAAAGACTAGAAAGGCATCAACGGAACGAGTTCACAAAATATAGTCTGAGTATTTCCCTTCGTGGGAACAAGTTGAATTTGTTTGTCCTGACCACTCTAGCGACACCGAATGGCCTATACTTTCTCGTGGCTGCTCGTACTAACCAAGGCAGCGAAGCATCAGTCTAGCATTAGGTGTATGCTCTGTCGTAAGATGTTCTCCGAGATTCTTCCTAACCTACTGAACACGAAGGATGATAGTAACATCCGTTGAAAACCTAACCTACTGAACACGAAGGATGATAGTAACATCCGTTGAAAACCTCACCAAAATGAAAAGTGGGGCGATGAAGACAGGGGGTAAGAACCGTTGCTTTTACTGTTGTAAGAACCGATGCTCTTTTTAGCTCTAAAATATAAGAACCATAGATGCACTAAAACGTTAGGGTTAGAATATTTACTATCTTAAATCCTAGCTTTTTTATAGATACTACTAAATAATAAAGAATTAATAAAGTCTTCTATCTTTCTGAGGTGTTGTGATGAAGTGTGGTCTATGCTTCTTCTATCTAACGTATTTAGGCTAGCCGGCATTAGTCAGCTTGCTCATTCCCCAACTCAGAAGAGACATAGTCACCCAGTTAACATTAAATACAAACAACAGATTCATCTCATACTAGATTATCTATTCAATCTAATTGCACTACTAACTATACTACTAGACATACCATTATGGACCCATTTACATTTAACTCCCAGTTCTCATTGCTTATATGTACAGAATGCCAATTTGCAGTTGTCACTAATGAAGTTACTACCCATCTCAAACGCCATCATCCACTAATTTGCCCAGCCAAGAGGGCTCAAATCGCAGAGATCACACAGTCGTTAAGTGGCTGTATCCAGAGCCAGGCCGAGCTCAGTCAGCTCCAGTATCCACCGCCAACAAGCAGCCCAGTTGCTTCTATTAAGCCACCCATCACGGATGGTATGCGATGTAATGATTGCGGCTATATATGCCGCCGGATACGCACGATCCAAGGGCACTGCCGGGAAAAACATGGATGGGTAAACGACAATAAGAGAGGTGGCAATATGAAGAAGAAGTCGGAGGAGACACGGGAGGTGCCATGGGCTACAGGTATTCATTGCCAGAGATTTTGTGTCTCACGAGGTGGAAAACGATGGTTTGAAGTGGCCAGCATCCCAGCACACGCCGAGGCCCAACAGCAATCCATCAACAACAAAACCGCATCGCAGGAAGCCGTCGACCGCATTCTACAGCTACGACAGATCCAGGCGGACAGGGTGAAGACGAGCAACAACGAGATCATACGTGTAACTAGCGAGAAGCTCGAACCCAACCCATGGCTCCACCGCGTCGGATGGGCCGAGCATCTACGTGGGCTAGACGCCAATACGCTCTTTAAGACAACAGAAGCTATTCGGGAGGAAGAGACGACACTACAGCGGATGTGGGAGACGGTCAGTACGGTGCTGGACCAGTCGCGGGCCGCATCAGGGCCCAACACCGTCGGACACGCCGTGCTATTTGAGGCGCAGCGGAGCGAGGCCCACGTCAAGCCGAGACGGCCATTCGACAACCGCATGGAGGAGGATACGTGGACGAGGTATAAGGACGTGTGGCGAGTGCTGCTCTGTATCTGGTTCCGCACACAGGAGATGACGGATGAGGAACGGCCGCCGTATAAGCTCACGACGCAACAGGAGGATACGTGGGACCGGTTTGAGCAGCTCGCCGAAGCAGCGGATACCGACGCAGCCCGTATACCACAGCAGGAGAGGGAACAGGCAGGGCTAAGAATGCTCATGGCAATGCTGGACCATCAACTCAAAGCAAGCCACTACGACAACGCTTTAATCAGCGCTTTGGCCGTCATGGGCATCTCGGAAGACGGCGGATGGGTGGACATCAGAGACTACACGGGCAAGTACTCGGCAGTCGTCAAGGTCGCCCGTATGCTGGTCATACAGCAGGCGTGCTCGGAGCGGCGCGACGAGGTAGCGCGGCTGGCGGAAGACATCGGACAGGACGCGGCCGAAGACGGGGCGACAAGCTTGTTCCAGCACGTGCGGAGGAAGGTACGGCGCTTCATGACGCGGACTTCGGGTGACAAGGACGCGGAGCCGACGCCGATGGACTGGATCTTGGAGACGCGCACGTACGGCATGCATATCCAGTTCAACACGGCGTCGGCCGGCGTGATCGACTGGGTCGGGGATCGTGTGTCGTATAGACGGGTACAATTCACGATGGGCCAGCTATCGGATGCGTTACACGAGCTTGTGCGGGAAGCGCGGGGGTTGCTGGCGGAGCTGACGATGACGGACGGGCCAGACGGCACGGAAGTAGAGCCAACAGGACGGCTGCCGGACATCCCATGGGCGTCCATCTCAGACGACCACAGCGAGACCAAGGCGGGCTACTCATTCATCTCGGACGACCGTAACGAGTGGGTTCGAAAGGCGGACGGCTGGCTGTTCCACCGAATAGCCGGCTCAGCCGCCATGAGGCGCCGGTGGGGACTGGAGAGCTCCGGAGAGGACGGTCCGGCATTCCAACCGGGTGCGACCAGGGAGTATAAGCATACGTTCGAGCAGTTCCGCGAGCGTCTGTGGATGCTGCTGCATACGCTCGGGGGGCAGCCGGGACGGGCAACAGAGATGGGAGGACTCCGGATGGTGAACACGGCCAACGGAGGGGTCCGTAACGTGTTCATCCACGACAAGATGGCGTGCTTCGTGACGGCGTATCACAAGGGCTACCGGGCGACCAGCAGCGCCAAGGTGATCCATCGATATCTGCCGAGGGAGGTGGGCGAGCTACTGGTGTGGTATCTATGGCTCGTCTTGCCGTTCTGGCAAGAGGTCGAGGGGATCACGACGGGATCAGGCCGGTATAGCGCGTTCTTATGGGCGGACGAAACAGTACAACAGGCGTCAGGGACGGCATCAGCGGCCAGAGACGCGGACGCGGAGAGCATGACGGGCAATAGCAACGCAGGTGAGGGAGCAGGGCCAGCAGACGAAGAGGACGTGGGAGCGTGGAGCTGGAAGGAGGAGCGCACATGGACGACGGACCGGGCACGTCGTATCATGCAGCGTACCAGCGCACGGCTGCTCGGGAACCAGGTCAACGTGAGCATGTGGCGGCATATCGCGATCGGAATCGCCAACCGGTATCTAAATGAGGCTTTCGGGCGGGAGAGGGAAGATGGCAGGGCAGGCGGCAACGGGGACGACGAGGACGACGAGCTCGGAGACAGCGCGTGGGACTTGCAAGCGGGACACAGCACGCGATTGGCGGGCATGATCTACGCACGGGAGCTCATGCAGTTCGGCAGCGGGCTCGCGGCGAAGCGGCAGCAGTTCCGTCAGGTCAGCCGGCAGTGGCATCGGTTCTTGGGTTTCGGGGCGGAAGACCGCGGGACGGCGGGCGGCGGGGTAGGGACGAAGCGGAAAGCAGAAGCATACGACGGACCGCGGCTCGAGGCAAGGCTCCGACGGTTCGAGCGGCTGAGGCGGGCCGACTTCACGGGACAACTGAGGCAGATGACGGGCGACGAGTCGAGCGAGTTCCGTGGCAACCAGCGGCAGGCGGTGCTCGCCATCGCCAACGGCCACAGCCCCGTCGTCCAGGTCATGGGCACGGGGGGCGGGAAGAGCGTGTCGTTCATGCTGCCGGCGTTCTGCTCGCCAGACGGGGTCACGGTGGTGATCACGCCGCTGGTGGCGCTCCGGACGGACATGCACATGCGCTGCGTCAGGGCGGGCATCACATCGCACGTGTGGCAGAGCCGGAAGAACAACCAGGCGGCATCGATCGTGTTCGTGACGCCCGAGTCGGCCATTACGAAGGGGTTCAGGGACTTCATCGCGCAACTGCAGGGCAGGCAAGCGTTGGACCGGGTGGTAGTGGACGAGTGCCGGCGGGTTGTGTTGGACCGCGTAATGGACGGACGGACAGACCGGTTTGGGTGTGAGGATGGAGAAGAGCTTTGCGACGTCTGCCGAGGGTGGTCTTTAGGGGATAAGGAGCGAGACGACGATGAGAAGGGTAGTAGAGGCAACGACACAGCAGGCCAGGCAGCATTTCACAGACAGGAGCGACAGATGCAGGTTGGGCGATGGCAAGTGTCCCAGGAGATGATGAGGGAGAGCGAGGAAGTTGATAGCTTTCTACGCAGGATATACCAACAGTGCGGAAAGTGTTTATTATGCTCCGGAGAGGAGGAAGACGGCCACGAGTTCGAGCAGTGCCCACGGAGGGAGGCAGACGAGTGGAGACAAATCCAGGAGAGGGTGCAGCTGGTGGAGCGGGAGATGTTCAGTAAGAAGCGATTCGAGCGGTTCTCAGGATGCTTCAACTGCGGTCTCCCGCAAGACGTATGCGCGCGGTGGGAGGCGGAGGCAGAGGATGGAGGCAGGTTCCGTCGACTTAAGGGGGCTATATGCCAGTTCAGCCGCACGCTCGTAGGGTTGTTCTCGGCCAGCATAGCCAGGCTGCCGGAGGCGCAGTGGAGCGGTGTGACGGAGGAGGCAATGGAGGCGGAAGGGGTCAGCTTTAGAGAGCAAGAGGACGAGGGCCAGAGCCGGTTCTATCAGTGGCTCGGGGGCCGTATACAATGGGGTGGGCTTGAGAGCAGCCGGCTTTGCCAGTTAACATACTTATTACAGTGTGAGCTAGATAAAGAGCAAGAGTGGGTTTTTTAGATATATTAAAAAGAAAACAGCTTTAGAGAGAATAATAGATAAATAGAATATGATATAATTACTATTAATAAGGAATATTAAAGATAACTAAAGGGTTAAAGTTTAATAAAAGTAGAGTAGAAAAGAGTGACTATATATAAAAAAGTATTAATAAATACTCACTTTAAAAGAATAGTAAAGAGAGAATAGAATAAAGGTATTATAGTTATATTAGAATTATTATATAGAGATGTAATATAAATAGTAAAAAGAAACTTATTAAAATATAGTAAATTTTAAAAGAGATAAGAGGTATATAGTTTTAGATTAAAAGCTACTAAATTAGGGTTAGAGTTAAAGGGGGAGAGTTTACTATTAAATAGAGAAAAAGACTAATTAGGGTAAGAGTTAAGTTAGAGTAGAGAATAAAAATATTAGGTTAGTTATAATATAGTAAAGATAATAATTATAAAGAAATATGAGAGATACTAAAATGGATTAAAGTTTATATAAGGAATAATAAACTATGTATATAAAGATGAGATAGTAAATTAAAATAAGAATAAAGATAAGTTTAATTAAATTAAGTAAATAAAAAAAAGTATTTTAAATTATATTTTTATTGTTATAAGGGTTATAGGAAAACTATTATATAACATTCTACTAAAGGGAGTTTAAGGTGTTGTGAAGACTGCTAATTAGACCGCCAATAAAACCGCTATTAAAACCGCTGTTTAATTGTTTTTGAGACCGCTAATAAAACCGCTGTTAAAACCGCTGTTTAACTGTTTTTAAGACCGATAATAAAACCGCAAATAAAACCGCTGATAAAACCGCTGTTTAATTGTTTTTGAGACCGCTAATAAAACCGCTAATAAAACCGCTGTTTAATTGTTTTTGAAACCGCTAACTAAACCGCTGATAAAACCGCTGTTTAATTGTTTTTGAGACCGCTAATTGAACCGCTGATAAAACCGCTGTTTAATTGTTTTTGAGATCGCTAATAAAACCGCTAATAAAACCGCTGTTTAATTGTTTTTGAGACCGCTAATAAAACCGCTAATAAAACCGCTGTTTAATTGTTTTTGAGACCGCTAACTAAACCGCTGTTAAAACCGCTAACATCACGTCCACGATGAACTTGAGTAGAGTTCATTGAAACGGCCAGCCAAATTAAAGTGGGCCCGCGAAGGCATGGGGTAGGGTTCATTGAAAATAGGGTAGTAGAGTTCATTGTAATTTTCAGCCCCAAAATAAACGAAAGTAGGATGCATCAAAAGCCATCATATATATCCAGTCAGAGGTATATTTTCAAAGGTACTCGATGTATGTAACAGGAGGAACAGGTCGGTTTCGTATGAGGAGGAAATTGGGATGTTGTTGGTGATTGGGCACGCACGGACCCATCGAGTTGGGAAGAGCGCGCCATCCAGCGAATCAGATCACACACCACCCAGCAGGAGAAGATGATTGAAGGGGGCAGGATGCAGAGACAGGTTAGAAGTAAATAGTTTCAGGAGGCAGGTAATGTTAGTATTTAGCATAGGAGGAAGCCATTTAACAAGCCATTAACAGCAGAATAGATTCATCGTTATTCATCCCCCAGCACAAGTCATTGGGATGGAGCCGTTCGTCCATAATCCCCAGTATGCCATTGTGATTTGTAGGGTATGCCAGTTTGCCGTGGTTGCCGATGAAGTATTGTCACATTTGAGGATACATCACCGAGAGATCCCCGTCGCCAGCAGATCCCATATCGCAGAGGCCATCCGCAGTATCCCAAGGATTGTCCGCACCCAAGCCGATTTAGCCACATTGCAGTATCCAGACCCAAGCACGCCACCCATCCCACACATTGCGGCACCGAAGGCGGACGGCATACGATGCGCAGAGTGTCCGTATATGTGCCGGCGGCCACAAGTCATCCAAAGGCATTGCCGGGCCGAGCACGGATGGCACAATGATTGGCAGAAGGGGGGCAATGTGCGTAAGAGGGCCACGGTAGCAAGGGATTTACCGTGGACGACGGGGGTGCCGTGCCAGCGGTTTTTCCCATCGCGCGCCGGGAGCCGGTGGTTCGAGGTCGGGCGGGGGTTAGGGATGGCCGTTCAAAGCGAGCCACCAGAGCCGGGGACGGATAACACGGCGTGGTTCGTCGCGTTGCACGAGAACCAAGAGAAGCGGTTCGAGGCCGACGCGCGCGAGGAGGTTAGTATAGTAGACGAAAAGTTGGAGCCGAACGGGTGGTTGTACCGCGTCGGGTGGACGAGGGATTTGGAAGGGTTGAACAAGACGCAGTTACAGGAGGCCACGCGACCGATCGAGGACGGCGAGGAGACGTTACGGTTCGTGTGGGCCGTGTTCAACAGCGTCGCCGACAAGGCACGCGCAACAGCAGCACCGCACAAGGTCGGGCATGATGTGTTGTTTGAGGCGGAGCGGAAGGAGATCAGCCAGAAGCCAGTGCGGCCGTTCGACAACCGCATGGAGGACGACACGTGGCAGCGGTACAAGGAGGTTTGGCGCAAGATGGTGAGCATATGGTTCCGCATGGACGAGTGGCCGGACCACGAGCGGCCGCCGTATCGGTTCACCATACGTCAGGGGTCGTTGTGGGATGCGTTCACCAGCCGTGTCGCGGCGGACGTCAGCAGCAGGCAGGCCGCGCAGGCGGAGGAGGTCGAGAGGATGTGTTTGGACGCCATCATCGCCATCATCGAGGACCCGTACAAGCAGAGCCAGAAGGAGAGCGCGATGATCGGCGCGTTGGCGGTGTTGGGCATCCGCGAGGACGGCGG